TTTCGGAGACTGGCCGGGACCATGTTTTGAAGGTGGCCTGCACCCTTCCGGAAAAAAACCGCATGAAACTGAAGGGAATCGACCCTGCTGCAGGGTTGTTGGATCAACCGAACCACGTCACAACCTGGTGGGGAGTCTCCATCCGAGAATCGAACTCAAGTTGGCTCGTGCTGAGCAAGCCACCAACACTCGGTACATGTTTGGTTTTGGAGGGGGTCCTCTGAAAATTAACCACCGAACAACAGATCTGTAAAGGAAGCGCATGTGGAGCAACGCTACCAGGATTCACGCATCGACTCCATCTGGAGGCGCCCAAGGCTGCCAGCCCAGTGCCAGGGCCGCCGCCAGCCAAGGCGCGCAGAGGGACCCTTTGGTTGGAAGGCCCTACTGGGACAGTACTAAGCCCCAGCTGCAGCATCGAGTTGGGGTCATTCAACCAGGTCCCCCAGTGCCCTTATACCGTTTCTTTTTTGGGGGAGGGTTCCCGTACTAAAATAGACCACAGGGAAAAATCGGGTACCCTTATTCGAACCTCTCAAGTCTGGAGGACCTAGTCAAATCCCCAGGTAGCACCGGCACACGTGTCATTAGCCCGGTGGAAAAAAACTCAAAATCGTAAAAGGCGTGCTTGGAAGACCCTGCAGTGAGATCGTCATGTGTGTGTGTGTGTGTGCGTGTTTTGAAAAGGGAACGCGAGGAAGACTGACACAACCGGGGTTCCCCTATTTTTGTTTGCATGCGGGATGTTCAAGTGGGCATTGTCATGCCGTTGTAAATTGTCCTGGGACTTTCCCGCTTTTCAGGGCAGTCCAGGGTGACTCGAGCCTGCCCGTTCAGGATAAGTGGTTCCCGCCTCATTCTCATTTAAAAATACCCCACCTTGCAATCGGGGAGTTGCGTCGACGGCTGAGTTTTCGCAGAGTGTTTGTTTTTGTTTGACCTTCACTTAGGTTTGGGCTGGCGGTTGGTTTGTTGTTGCTTTGGAATGGGTTGGGATGGTTGGTTGGTTGGTTGGTTGGTTGGTTGGTTGGTCGGTTGGTTGGTCGGTTGTTTGGCTGTGCTCACCTTCAAAGTGCATCCCAAGGCGCAGGCCGACGCGGTTCCGGCTGGGCCCTGCATGGAAGGCAGAGCCAAGGGCAGTGGCCCTCCCTCGGGCCCCCAAAAAAAAAGCCCAGCTGAACCAGATCCCAGGCTTCTGGTTCTTAGCCTTACCTCTTAAAAACACAACTTTTCAACTTTTTGGGTAACATGGGCTATATGTTTGTAAAAGATTAACTTCCCCAGGGCTTGGAGGTTTAAGGGGTAAGTAGCCTCTACTTGCTGAAGAAAATGTCTTCTTTATCTTCCCCTGCTGGCTTTTTGCCCTGTTGGTTTCGAAGGTAAGTAATTATCACTGACAGAGTTATCCCATTTTGCCAAGGGGACTTAAGCAAATGGAGGTGGTTACCTGGTTGGGCAATGTTACTCACGTGATGGGTGTGAACTGGCACTCAGTCTTTGAAGTTGACCACTTCTCGTGAGGAGAAATGCCCCACGCCCGCTTTTGAAGAATGGTCTTGGAATCATCAAAGCATACTTGTGGACTTGTGGGTCTTTGAAAGATATGGGCCTGTCATTTTGGAGGATTGGTGCACAAGGGACCCGGGTTCTTCAATTTGGAGACAACCGCACTTGCATTGGATGTTCACGCATCTTGTTGTCCGAGCTGGCTCTTCGTATCGCCGCCTTCATTTACTCATGTCCACCGGTGGCACGGGTTCACTTGGATTGTTCAACAGATGCTCAGTTTCAAGAGAGCCGCTCAGGCTTCTCCTTTGTTTAATGTGTTTCCCAAAAGGAAACCCAAAGGCACCTAGTCTCAATAGCGAGTTGGTCCTACCAAGGGGATGTTAGCCACAAGTCAATCCCAATACATACAGCAGCCTGGGGCTGGGGGCGAACAATATTTATTAGTAGCGTATGCCCTCAAGGGGCTTACGCTACGGTCCTTGCCCAAATTGGGTTCCCCCCCGTTTCCAGGCCCAACATCGTTCAACATGGCAATGTCCGAGTAAGGAATTCACACACCAAATACATGTCCGCTTAGAAGACTGGAGTTGGGGTCAGCGGTAAACTCGCTGTTTAGAATTGGTATTTAGAGATTTGGGGTCTGGGAAACCAAGTATTCATTAGGTTCTGATTGTTGATAGCCGCAAAAGATTAGAGGGTGCAAAGGGACCCGTGCACAGCCTGCTCTGGGCAGATGTGTTCGAAGCTAGCATGCGCAGCATTCACCTGGAGCCCGCCTCGTCTCTTTGAGTTCAGTCCATGATATGAAGCCCGCAAAGAAAAACCTGGAGAGGAGAGCATTTGTATTGGCCAAGACAAAATCTTGGTGCCTGGTGCAGGCCCCCAGTTTTTCCTTTGTTCTTGGTCTCCCTTTAGACTCAATCCGATCCAAAAGCATCAGGTTCCCCCTATGGTGGATTGGTTTGGGGATTTGAACCTCACCTTGTGAGACTAGATGGGAAAGGCACCGGGGTAAGCTGAACCCATGTGGTCCCCAGTACCTGTTGAAATGGGAAAGGCGCCACTTCACATCCAAACCAATCTAAACCCAAGGGCAGTTTGGCAGACTTCTTGTTGAGTGGTTTGAAAAGCCTTGAAAAGCCTTGCAGTGTTGGACCTTTTGCAGAGCTGCCCAAAGCACCACTTCGGGGTAAGAACCCAAAGTCGCTCGGCTTCGGGCGCCCAGCGGCGAAGTCTGCAGGCACCACGCCCAAGGGCGGCTCCATCTTCCGCCCGCTGGAGAGGACGCCCAAGGCGCGCCAAAGGGAGGGCCAAAGCGGGGGGAGGGGGAGGGGGAGGGGGAGGGGAGGGGGAGGGGGAGGGGGAGGGGGAGGGGAGGGGAGGGGGAGGGGAGGGGGAGGGGGAGGGGGAGGGGAGGGAGGGGGAGGGGGAGGGGGAGGGGGGAGGGGGAGGGGGAGGGGGAGGGGGAGGGGGGGGGAGGGGAGAGGGGGGAGGGGGGAGGGGGAGGGAGGGAGGGGAGGGGAGGGAGCGGAGAATCTACTGGAGCCCAGCGCGCTGGGAATCGGGTCCTTCCGCTCAAACAACCTGTTGTCCGAGGGCTGGCAGGGCACCGAGGGGTCATGCTGCAGTGCGGCTTCGTTTCAAAAGCTTAGCCCCCCCAAACCGGGGAAGCTCCCGGACTTTGAGAGATTAGCCATGGCCAACTGCCCATCAAAAAGGGAACTCACCACAGAAGCTTGGGGCAAAAGCCCAATCTTTTTACGGGGATTTTGAGGGTCCAGGTAGTTGCAGGTTTTCGCGAAATTTCGGCCAGATGCGGGAAGGCGGCCAGGGGAAGACTGATAGGCGCTTAGTTGAACCGTCCTTGCGGCTTGAGCGCACAGTTTTGGTATCGAGGCCCCTGTCAGTGTGACGCTCAATTGAAATGACTCGAAGGGCCATCTTCCGTCGGTTGTGAGAGGTGCCTCTTTCTTGGCAGAGCGACGGTCATGAGGCTCCCGAGAAAGCAAAGCTTGAAGCGGGTTTCTGCGCAGCCTTCCAATCCCATGGGGAGTGTTCTGAAGCAAAGCCATGTTGGATGTCTTCACTTTTAATGAAGAAACATGCCTATGGCATCCTATGGCCCAAATTTCGGAAACATCTGGATGGTCTAAATCAGTTTCTTTTGTTTCCAGTTGACTTGGGCCCAAATGCAATCAAGGGCCCCCCCCCCGCCCCCCCCGGTTTGGACGCCAGGGCGAGTCGCCGGCTTGGAGCCCAAGAATGCACGTGCTCAGCAGGGAGCACGACCCAGGCTTTGCACCTAGGGACCTAGGGATCCCCTCAAGGGAAACCCACCAGTTGGATGGTGGGGGTCATGAACGGATTTCGGGAATGAAGCCACGGATTTTTTAAGCGGGACCAAGAGTAAAGCCACCAATTTTGGAGCGTCCTATAAATGAGGGTTCCCTTTTGTTGGGTGGTTTGAGGGAAGACCAAAAGGAAATTATGAATGGTTTTTTGTTGGGGGGGGGTCCCTAGAAAAGACACGCGCACAAATGGAACCCCTAACAAAAGTGGTGTTGCCTTTGGCCTCCCTTCAAACCAAGCCTGCAAACCACTCAAACCACCCATGTAGGTCCTTGCCCCCTGCTAGGTTTCGTCGCTCAACCACACGAAACGGTTTGGGAGATTTCGTGAGCCAACTATCGTTTTGTTTCCTCCACCCCCCCCTTTTTGTTCTTCCCGGTATGATTTTTAGGTGTACCCCAGTTTTGGGCTGAGATGTTTAAACACACAGGACATGGATCATGTCCTTTACCCAATCAGGAAGATCTTGCCAGTCGGAGCCGCATTTGGCTGATTGTTCTTGCCGCGGTTTCAAGCCTGAAGGGTCGCCCCTTTGGTTTCGACCATATCGAATTAAAACAGAGAAAGAGATTTATCCATTTGCTTAAGACTAGTTGTTGTTGTTTTTTTAGAGGGAATCTATCACTAATTACTGGACATATTGGAATGTTTGCCAGGGGGCGTTTCCGCAAATGGAAGGATTGCTTCTGTCGATTCCGAAAAAATTGGCGATCGCCCGGAGGAATTTCCGGGTTCAGCTCTCCTTACATTCGAGCCCAAGGCTCACATGGCGTGCGATGGCTCTTGCCACTTTCGTAGACCCGAGTCTTGAAAGCCAAAGATGAGTTTGGGCAACAGCGACCTTTTTCTCGTTCGGGTCAACCTCTGTGGTCGTTGGCCGCGGACCTGGTTAAGAGTGATGGCCCCAAGGTCACTCAGCTTTTCTTTTTTGAATTTAATATTTGTTTGGGCCTTTTTGTTTGCCAGGTGTTCCAGCTGAAGCGTTTGATCATCATCTTCAATAGCAGAAGCATGCAAATAGCCTTACTTCCAGAGTTCATGGACTGTAGTTACTCTTGGGGGTTGGACCCAAGTTAGCGGTAGGTTCCTGGACTTTTTTGGGGCCATCCGCTCAAGTGAGTAGCCTCCTGACATGGGAATGCAGCGGAATTTGGCTCAAGCTGCCTCGCCAATTTCTTACTCTACTCGTGCCCCTTTCGCACCCCTTTTTCAGGCCTGCGCGTGAGTTTTTTGTCACAGTCTCGTGCTCTGTGTTTGTTCGGTTTGGGGAGCGGGGGCCCCAACGCTCTATAGAGGTGTGATGGCTGGCGGCAAAAAACGATCCAACACGGCGTCCACGGTTTGGACAACCACTGGTTGGAATCTTTGGATTTAAGCTGTTTGGTTGAAACTTTGTGATTTTTTCCGAATTGGACGAACAAGTAAAAACTGTTTGCAGAGGGGTCAACAGGAACCAAGTTGCATCCTTGCTGGATGTGCGGTTTGAAAAGGAACTATGAGGGTTTTGAGGCCAGCTTCCCACCATTATGGGGGGCGGGGGGTGGCGACGGAGATCCAGAGTTTCTTCGACGGCAAAGTCTGGGGTGCTGGCAGCCACATGGACGAGCATGCTCCGTCTCGACATTCCACCAGACCTGAGAGCAGAGCACTGGTGTTCCCCACGGCCGACGGCATTTGGCCGAGGCTGAAGCAGACAGGACAGCCGTTCCGTGCGGTGCATGTTGTCCTCTCCGACTTTTTTCGTGTGGGGCTGGGAGGAAAAATACCGCCACAGCCCCTGGAGCCCAACCATAGCTAGCTTCAATCAAGTACTTTCAGCGAAGACGTAAAAGTCAAAGTGTTCCTCAAACTGCAAGAACGCAATCTCCAGACCCATCCATTATTTTGGAGCTGGGTCACCTGGGTCCCGGGCATTTCCGTGGTGAAAAACGCCGCTTTGATTTTTTTAAGTCTGAGTTGCTGAGTTGCTGTCTCTCACTTCCTGAGTTCATGAACTTTAAACTTTTTGGGAAGACCATTTTGGTGGTAAATATAAAGTTTGAACCTTTTTTGGGCCCTCCACTCAGCAAGTGAGGTCTTGACGAGTTAAACTATTGCTGAGACTTGTCGAAGTGGTCCAAGCTGGTGGGCCGCGATCTATTTCCGAGCCTTGCCGAGCTCGTCCCGAAGCTTGGGGCAAAGTTGGTGGGTGTTCCGTGCTGCCCCCCCCGTTGAGTTCACGACTGACCAACTCAGAAGGGGCGATGTCCGGTAGGTTCTCCTGTGAGTTGGTCCTCGATCCTCTCCCCGGGGTTGCCTCAGTTGCAGAAGGTCCGAGTCACCTCGCCATGGCCGAGGGATCGGCGAAGTCGGCCAGGCCATGGCTGTGGCTGAAGCGACCCTGAAGCGCAAGGCCGCGACCCTCGCCACCACTGACCTCGTGGCGACGGAGGCTCTGGGGCACTGACTCGGCATGTTGAGGGGTCAAGGCTACCTCCCTAGGAGTGTGCTTAGACTAACTCCGGATGAATTATTGGTTTTCCTTCGAGTTTGCCTTTAAACGCACAGACACACACAGACACCCCATTTGGAGGGTAACTCTGAGGATGTCATGAGGATATCACTTTGGGCCCAGGCGTCGAAGCCTACGATATGAGGACCCCAAGTCCCAAGTCGCCATAATCAGCCAGATGAAGGTTAGCACGGGAAAGAGCCAAGCAGGGGTGTGTGCTTTTTATTTGTTAATGTTGAAACGCATGTGGAAACATGAACTGTGTTTGAAATGCTTGACCATAATGGCCCCGGCCATTTTGGCTCAAGCTTGGATCTTGGGTTCTCTGAACCCAACTTTGTGTAAAAATTTAGGGGAATCACTTCCGAACCAACCCCGAACAAGCAATGGCCTCCTCGGCGACTTCGGCAACTTCCTTCGAGTTGATTGAGGACCAGGCACTCACCGCGGAGGAGGTGGAAATGGCCAGCCAGGAGGCCCAGGAAGTCCGCACACGCGAGGCGGCTGTGGCGGCCGGCCTGGTGTTGAATGAGCCCGAGGCGCCCCCGTCGGCATCGGCCACCGATGTGATGAACGACCTCTCCAGTGCACTGGAGCGGCTCCGTGTGGCCTTCTCCACACCGACTCCCGGCCTGGGTGCCCCTGGCCCCGCCGAGGACGAGGACAAGGAGATGGGCGATGCGGTCACCACGGAGCGGGCTACTCCACCAACGAAGAGGCTGAAGGGCTTCGTGGCGGCCTCCCAGAAGACCACGGCCCGGTCTCCCTGGTGCCGGTGGATGGCCGTCCTGGCTATTTCAAGCTAGTGGACCTCCCAGACCTCTTCCCGGTCCTTCCGGCATCGGCGGCCACGTTGCTGAGGGACGTCACGGTGGAGGAGGCGGTCTCCCTGTTCCACAAGTTTGTCGGTAAGAATCTCACGGAGGACTTGGTGGTTCGCATCCTGGAGGCTTATGTTCCGATGAAGATCCAGATCCGGCAGGAGGAGGTCTGGGCCTCACAGTTCCAGCGGAATAAGGCATGCATTGGCACCCAGCGGATGCACAGACTCGATGCCGGCCACTCGGACTACAAATTCATGTGTAAGGCATGCGGCACGGGGTGGCCGGAGGCAGCCAATCAATGCTGGGTCTGCCCGGGCAAGGAGTTTGTCCCCTTCCAGGCACCCTCTGCTACCTACGAGGCGGACGGCGTCACGTACAACCTGCTCATTGTGGAGGGCAAGCCGACCTGGATCCAGCAGCGGGATGGGGGAAGCCTGGGTGCCGCTGGCCCCGGTGGTACCCGGGCACAGGCAGACCGCAACCTGGTGGACGGCACGATCCTGGGGAGAGCTCCTCCGAAAACGGACACGGCAGAGGAGATCACCATGGCTGACGTGGTCCCGCTTAACAGGCGGGTGGATATCCGGCAGGAGATCCTGTCCATGGAGGCGGACGATGAGGCGTTGAAGGTCCGGGAGCGCCAGGAGGTCAAGGTCAAGGTGCAGCGGTCCCTGCAGGAGGCAGAGGCTCAGAGCTTCCAGCTCTACCACCCCCAGGTGGACCAGGCGATTCGGAAGAAGGAAGAGCTGCACAAGGCCTTGAGGGAGCACCGGGAACCGACCCCGGAGGAGTCCTCGGCCAGGCAGCGGCACAAGGAGTTGGTCACGGATGAGATGCTTGACGGCAATCCTGGCGCCTCTCCAGGAGGGCATGCAGGCCCTGCCGGCAGAGGAGGTGGCCAATGAGGGAGCCAACCTGGAGCGATTCAAGGCCAAGCTGCGAGATCAGTACCTGGAGGGTAAGGGTGTCGACGCCAGCCAGGCACTGGCTGATGCGATGGGCTCCATTCAGGAGGCGCAGGAGGCGAACAAGCGCACCCAGGACACCAACCACGCATGAATGCTTAACCACACCCTCCAGCCCTTGGAGGTGTCGGCATGGCCAGATGATCTCAGGCAGGCTCTGGAGAGGGGGCTGTTCTGCCCCCTGGAGCTGGATGACCCCGAGGACATCCCCAACGTGGACATCAAGGAGAAGTACGTCCCCTACATCCGGAGGCTCAGAGAGGCACAGAACCCGTGGAACCAGGAGGCGTTGCTGGAGGAGATGCCCGATCTGGCGACACCGGCCCCCCCCAAACGTGCCACTGGCCCCGGAACGAAACCAGCCAATGCCACCGCAGGACCTGGACTCGGAGGAGGGGAAGCTGTCCTTGCTCCTCTGGGCGATGAAGAGGCACCAAGGGGAGCTACGGATGTTTGGGGGGATCTGGAAGAAGCACTCCAGCGGCGAAATCCCCAAGGGCGCGGACCAGCAATTCAAGCTCTCGCCGGAGGAGCTCCTGGCCCTGGAGCGCAGGACCCACCCACTCACGTGTGAGCGGGACCACATCGACCCGATCATCTACTCGGCCTTGGAGATCCGAGCGCAGGTGAACCGGGGGGAGCGCCCGGCGCCGGAGCAGGTGGTGGGGATCTTCTGGGCTAAGGGCGATGGCGTGTTTTGGACAAGGCAGACTCGCACGTGGGACCTGCCGAGCTTGACGGGGGTGTACGCCCACCGATTCACCTTCAAGTACATCTACTCGGCTTGGACCACATTCCCGCTGGTCGTGAAGACGCAGCGACGGGGCCGCAATGCGGAGGGCTCGGCTTCGGATAAGTGGATGGGGAACATCCTGCAGATGCGGAAGGAGGCGGTCCCCTTCCTGGAGAGCCTGGGAATCCCCAAGCCGCGCACTAAGGCGGAATGGAGCTACATCTTTAAGGAGATGGGGACGTTTCTGGCAGCCAAGAACTTCATCGTCAATTGCCAGTACATCAACAAGCACTTCCCGACGGGAACCAAGCACGTGTTCTGGGCCTCGGTGGAGTGCGGCCTTGTCCTGCCCAGCATCAGCGCATGGGAGGTGGTGGGCAAGGAGAAGTTCAAGACCACCGGGGGCTACATGTGCAGGTTCTGCAAGGGCTTCTGGAAGGCGAGCCGGGGGGGGACCCGGCTGCTCCAGATTACGGGGTGGCACAAGGACAAGGCCACCTGCCTGCAGCTGGTGATGGACGAGCCCCCGGAGCAGCTATATAATCAGTGGATCCGGGACAGGATGGAGTTCTACAAGCGGGTGGAGCCGACGGAGCCCCCCAGGGACGAGCGGCTAGTCCTTGGAGATGCGAGCACCCCGCGCATGCGATTCAGCTCTTCGAACGGCCTGGCAGATGTCTCCACTGCCCTGTGGTCGGTCATCCTGAGCAACCCAGAGAAGTCAGGGCTGGCGGCCATCCACTCGGTGGCAAAGGAGGCGATCTTGAAGGGTGAGAGCGGCTAGGTCGTGTCTCACTACCCTTTTGGAGGTGGCGTAATATGTTCTCTCCCCACCGGGACTTGGGTGCCTCTGGAGGTGTTGGGGTGTTTCCCTTTTTTTTGGGGTTCTTTGTTCACCTTGGTTTCCCCCCTGTTTCAACACGCCACGACTGCCGGTTGCCTCGAACCGGAGGCTGCACAATTTGGCTGCCCCAAGGACGGGCCGTATCGGCCACGGTTTGAAGAAAGTGGCTGCGGCCGACTCTGGGTTCCCTGAGGTCCCCTGGGGGTTTTGGGGAATCCCCCGCTGGGTTGGTCTTCCCCCTCCGTGGTTCCTGTTGGGGATTTCCGGGGGTTTGACTTTTGGGCCCTGTTGGGCTGCGTGTGGCCTGCCTGCCCCATGTGCATTCGGCATACTGTGGGGTTGGAACATTCATGCAGTTTGCCGCGGTGTGGTCCCGGCCGTTCGATAGGAGGCTCGAACCCTTGTTTTCAGCATGGCTAGGGTCTCTACACAGTTTCTGTTGCGCCCGCCTTACACTCGTCTTTGGGACCGCATCCCAAGGGTCCTTTGGGACACGCTGGCGGATGAGTCTATCTCCCCGAGACAGACAGACGGGGAGCTGCTGGTCCTGATGTGCCTGCGCCATGGCACGGCGGAGGAGGGGAGGCAGCTGGGCGGGGAGCCGGCCCTCCGATTCGCTCAGCTCCTGGAACTCTCGGGCATTCCGGTGGACCAGGCGGACCAAGTGGTACCAACGGACTACTTCAACGGCCTGGTGGCGTCGGCGGCGGGCAGGCTTCCCCAGCCTTTGTCCGCGGGGGACCTGGCCGACCTTTGGGATAGCCTATGGCCCCTCCTCATGGCGGCTGCGGACGGCAAGCTCAGCGAGAACTTTTCCCCGCTGGAGAATGAGTGGGACCGCCAGGACCAACTGAGGTGGTTCTCGCGAGATGACCCACCCCCACTCCAACAGCCGGAGCTTCTGAAGTGGCGGCACTGGAGGCCCGGGAAGGATCAGGGAAATGGAACCCACGACTCAGCGAGCACTGGAACTCCATATGCGCGGGAAATGGGCGGAACGGCTCCTTGCCCACTTCGCCCCCTTTGCGGAGCACATTGCATACATGCAGGACATCCTGGGGGAGGACTTCCGCAAGGAAGCATTGGACCTCTTGGGGGATAGCAGGTTCCGGACGCTCAGGCAACACTGCCTGGTCTACGAGAGTCTCCGCAAGAGAGGCTTCACCGTCATCCCATGGCAGGAACGACATGTCCGTTCTCTCCTCAACCAGCTCGCCGATGAGGAGGTCACCCCGTGCAAGTTGCGGCAGGTGTGGAACACCCTCAAGTGGTTTTCCAAGACCTTCGGACTGCTGAAAATAGACGAGCTCCATCGCCTCAAGTCCAACAAGAGCTCATTGGAAGAGGCGCTCACGGACACGGTCACCAGGCCACAGCGTAAGGCGGTGGTCCCTAGCAAGGAGGTCATTTGGGCTCTGGAGGAGGGGGCCGGCTACGATCGCCTGGGTGCCACCGGCCCCGGCACGCAGGAGGTTCCGGGCAAGAACAGACACGAGGTGCTGGACGCTTTCATCCTGGGGTTCGCCCGGTTCCAGGTGGGGTGCAGTGCTCGCTTCAATGACCTTCAGCATGTT